CAGTTTTCGCGTTGTGAAGTCGGAGCGTGTGGTCAGTACTGGCGGTTAAAATTGTATTTCTAGCGTAACGTAAACACGTGATCTCCTCGCTTTTGTGGCAATCGATGATCCTGTGTCTAGGCTGTGCAATGAAGCGCCAGCTCCAATTGATGGCATAACGCGTCCGTATAAATATTTGCCGCCATTTGTCCCATTCGTCTTGCTGCAATTGTTAAGAGATAAAAACCCAATTGCAGGGCCATCTCACAGATATAATGTATACAAGATACTGTATTTAGATGTCAATTCGATCGCTACGAAGCATTGCTATTACTATGCATTGTGAGAATATGGGGCAAGTGAAGGTAATGCTAAGACAAACCCTTATGCACATCCCCCTGCCTGTTAAGCATGAAAATTTTCATGGCCTAACTTCGGCCCAGAATCCTCACGGTTTCGGTCCCTATAGGACACTGCTACGGGAGCCATTACGTGCATACACTCGATCTCGTAGCAACGTATGTGTCCCTTTGGCTGGCTCTGGTAGCATGTTTCTTTGCTTAATGAGATACCGCTTTCTTTCGTGTCAGGTTTCTAACGATTTGATAAGGTCTCAAATAATATTCGTCATTTTATTATGTAGAAGTCTTTGTCCCGAGCCTGTACTTGTTGCAGGCTTTCAACCTTCGTGTCCTTTATTTGGTTTCTGAAAACTGCACCTTAACATAGCTATAACCTGCACATTAATTCTTCACTATGGAGGCGACAAAGATTTCCCTAGCTACGTTTGGCATGAATGTCCATACATACTCAAACGAGCAGCTCAGTTATGATATCAGATATTTAGCAACACGCCAAACTTCGGAACAGGGCATATCAGTAATTTCGCACTAGTAGCCAGCCGCTTCGACCGATATTTATCGCCAGTAATGCTAGGCGCAGAATTCAAAACATTTACTCCAACTTAAATTAATTAACAAATTAAAAAAGTTAAAGTTATTGATAATATTTTATAGAATAATCTCAATAGATAACTTACAGGTTAGATATGGAAGTTCTACAACTTGGTGAACAGAAATGGTCATTATTTGAACCTATAGGTGTTAACGACGTACAAAGTTTAGCCGGGATGCATATTGTATTGTGCATTAACTTTTGTCTCTGCCTCGACATTCTGGTACCGGCCATTTGGAAAGAATCATGTAGTCGACAGCGTCTATGCACAATCTACGACAATAGTCGACGGTTTTGTCACTTATTAGCCATATACTTACATGGCTTCATTAGCTGAGCCGTGAACTAAAAAAAGGGATAACAGATAGTGCGACTGTCATGGTTTATGATACCGATGATACACCCTTGGCAATACCCTGTCGCAACAAATCAAAACGAAATTTAGAAGACCGGGGGCAACAGGTACTAGAGGCAAAAGTCACACTGAGTAGCAGCACTAAGAATAAATTGTAGTGCTCAGTATTCTAAGGCTGACATAGTGAAACCTTACTGACAGTAGATTTTCTGGTCCTTGGCATCTCGATCTGCAGTTCCTGACATCGTGCTTCCCAGTATCGATCATTGTTCTGATTAACGAGCAGGTGGACGTCTCTGTCCCTAGGCTCAAAGTACGCAATAATTTGTGCTGCAATCTCAGTCGGCAGAGCACAGATAAACGTAGGTCGGCATCTCCGTAAAATAAGTAGTAGACCGCGCAGTTGGGCAACACTGCAGATTGAGAGAAGACCAACCAGAGCCTCTACCATTGCTGTGTCATCGCTGAAGCCAGAATTAAGTTTTACGCGATTAAATTCGACATCTAAATAGCATTGCGTTACCGTCCTATAACAGCTAAAGCTGTCTCCACGCCTAAACAGCATTTCGAAAAATATATACAGATGTCGAGGGAATTAGACTGATTCTGCGTTTATTATACAACCAAATTAAGCTAAATGTTAAAGCAATGGGTAGAACCTTTGCGGAAATAGGATTTATTTATGGAACTTTATAATTGACTGAGAGCTAACGCGAAATATACGAAACGAACGAATGTAGTAAAAACTCACAACTTATTGAAGTCATCCAGCCATTGCTGTGAATCGAATGCCCCCTCGGGAATCTCATCGTCTGGATTGTCGATTACATCGTCGCCTCTGAAACGATTCCGTTGTCCGAACCATGATGACTGTGCTTCATTCGCAAACTTCGGAATCTCCGGAATGGGAATTTCTTGGCGATCTCTTTCCTGTACAGCTTCATTAACATCTCTGAGAGGTACAATTGTACTCTCGAATGGAACCGGAACCACCTTGATATCCTTGCCTATATGCGCACAATACTTTGCTGGAGCAAAATGTCGGCCGCCGAAAGAAGCAGCGTCTTCTGCTCCAGTAGCTTCGCCAGTTTCAATGAAAGAATCGTTTTCTCTAGCTTCATCAGACGCTATACCATCTTCGGATTCTCCGTCGTCCTGTTTTTTCTGTTGGAAATGTTCTCGATTGCTGTCTTTGTTTGCTTGAGAAACCCCGCTTCCATTGTCTTCTTGAGCAGCCGCATCTTTGCCGTCTGTTTCAGCAGCCGCATCTTTGCCGTGTGTTTCCGCAGCTGCATGTTCGCCGTCTGCTTCAGCAGCTGCATGTTTGCCATCTGCTTCAACAGCCGCATGTTTGCCGTATGCCTCGACAGCCGTATGTTTGCCATCTGCTTCAGCAGCTGCAGGTTTGCCGTCTGCTTCAACAGCTGCATGTTTGCCCTCTGCTTCAACAGCCGCATGTTGCCGTCTGCTTCAGCAGCTGCATGTTTGCCGTCTGCGTCAGCAACTGCATGTTTGTCGTCTGCTTCAACAGCCGCATGTTTGCCGTCTGCTTCAACAGCCGCATGTTTGCCGTCTGCTTCAATAGCCGCATGTTTGCCGTATGCCTCGGCAGCTGTATATTCGCCGTATGCTCGGCAGCTGTATTTTGCGGTATGCTTCGGCAGCCGTATGTTTGCGGTATGCTTCGGCAGCCGTATGTTTGCGGTATGCTTCGGCAGCCGTATGTTTGCCGTATGCTTCGGCAGCCGTATGTTTGCCGTATGCTTCGGCAGCCGTATGTTTGCCGTATGCTTCGGCAGCCGTATGTTTGCCGTATGCTTCGGCAGCCGTATGTTTGCCGTATGCTTCGGCAGCCGTATGTTTGCCGTATGCTTCGGCAGCCGTATGTTTGCCGTATGCTTCGGCAGCCGTATGTTTGCCGTATGCTTCGGCAGCCGTATGTTTGCCGTATGCTTCGGCAGCCGTATGTTTGCCGTATGCTTCGGCAGCCGTATGTTTGCCGTATGCTTCGGCAGCCGTATGTTTGCCGTATGCTTCGGCAGCCGTATGTTTGCCGTATGCTTCGGCAGCCGTATGTTTGCCGTATGCTTCGGCAGCCGTATGTTTGCCGTATGCTTCGGCAGCCGTATGTTTGCCGTATGCTTCGGCAGCCGTATGTTTGCCGTCTGCTTCAGCAACCGTATGTTTGCCGTCTGCTTCAACAGCCGTATGTTTGCCGTCTGCTTCAGCAGCCGTATGTTTGCCGTCTGCTTCACCAGCCGTATGTTTGCCGTCTGCTTCAGCAGCCGCATCGTTGCCGTATGCTCCAGCAGCCGTATATTCGCCGTCTGTTCCAGCAGCCGCATTGTTACCGTTTGCTATAGCAGTCACATTTTTATCATCTGTTTGGGCAGCCTTATTTTCCCCGCCTGCCTGAGCAGTCATTTTTTTTTCATCTAAGTCAGCAGTCGCATAAAAATCATCTGCTGCAGCAGTGGCATTCTTTTCACCAACTATTTCAGAAGCAACTCGAACGGGTATTATACGACTCTCATTTCGAATTTTCGCCGGTATGCCTGGCACAGCAGCTTTATTTGTATGCGTTCTTTGTTTAATTCTTATTTGACGTTGAGTTCTTTCACAGATTCGTATTTGGCCTTGAGGTCCTTGCTTAATTCTTAGCCGAACTTGACCAGCCATATGCCTCTGGTTCTGGTCACGTACTGTCGCCACTTGATCTTCTTCCTCTTCCTGAGACGTCGAGCCTGCTTCACCGCGAACCAAGCTTCCTAAAAGAGTTATCCTTGCCTGTAATAAGAGAGTAATTTCTTCTTAATCAGGTGGCGTAGTTGGTAAGAACTTGAGTAAACTAACTTTCGGTAGGTCTAGTATGTTTCTGCGGATGAACAAAACTACAGGGTACACTTATGCACACGACTTAGCCAATCAGGGTAAATTGGGTACCCGTTATGTTTGAACACAGTCTACCCGCTAACAGTATAAACATTGCCCTCTCTTCTTATCTAGATTGTATCCGAGCGATGCGGCAGCACGATTTCAAATAATCAAGGTTTCCCTGCCTACGTGAACTCTGCTTTTGAAGTGAACTGCTGGACCGGTTAGTATAGATATCCTTTCCCGGCATAGCAGAAGACCAGTAGCTTGGAGACAATTTCAATTGTCGGATGTTCTGTTATATAGTTGGTGTGGTGCAACTGTAAACAGAGTGATCGAAAATCAAAAACAAAAAAAAATACACTATTTTGTTCAAGGCGAAAGGACAACGGTCGGATGCTGAGTTTCAGTTCTAGCCAAACGAATGGAAGAGGTTCATAACGAACGATTGTTACTAAGGTTTTTTGAATGTGAGAAGGCCTGCCGCTTCCGCGTCGGTATGCGGCCAGCTTTGCCTTCACAGAGTTGGCTAAAGACTCGACGCAAGTTGTCAACTACACTCCGTATAAGAAGGTTTACCAACGCATGATGCTGTGCGGGACATCGTAAACTAAATTCGAGCGTAAAGCGCCTGTCACAATTGACCCTCGATAAACAACTAGAACGATAATTTCGATAGCTCACGTGAGTATATTGCAAAGACAAACGTAGTACTCAGACGTTTCTATTGAAGCTCCTGAGTACTCTGGAAGAAATTGGTTCATATCGAATTGAGCATCGCTCTTCTTGTGGCAGAGCTATTTCCTCATTAGCAAACAGATGCGAGCCTCAACAATCACCAGAACTAAATTTTGCCTGCAAGTCGTAATCTCTCCATCTTGCGTAGTTCTTATTTACAACCTTGTTCGTTGTTCTGGTACTGACTAAAATTTCAAAGCAACTATCTAATGCAATTAAGATTAATGCTAGATTAAGTTTTTCTGTTCCTGCTCTAAAAATTGCTACTCTGCTCAACATTAATGAGCGATTCTGGTCGTTCCGAGCCACGCCTAATATAAGGCCCAGTTGTAACTAACATGTAGAGTGTTCTGTTAAGAAGTGCCTTAGAGTGAAATCAACGCGGGTTTTGTTATTGTATCCAACAGACAACACGAGATCTGTTTATTAGTACGGCAATGAAACTATTTAAAATAGTTTAACTTACGGGCAACATGGTAAGTGGCCGTTTGAAAGAAGGACAAAGAAGTGCTGGTGGAAGGTGACTTTATCGCGTGCTAATCACAGCTGCCACCAGAGTCCACCAGACCGTACTTATTGAAATTTAGTAGATTTATACTGCATGACAAGAAACGTTCCCGCAATTAATTTCGAAATACAACAATAGGAATTCTCACAAACCTCACCCCGTACGGACTTGCGACGTTTAACGGGTTTATTAGGCATGTGGTTTAGTACAAGCTAAACGATGCTCGAAAACGGGTTCTGGGTTCCGTCGTATATACGGTAACCTCCACAAATCCCCTTAAGGCCGATATCCTAAATCAGTATCCAATGTAAAGAGAGACGGTTAGAGAGGTCCCGTCCTCCTTCGTTATCTGGCATTAACTATTAGTCTGAAAATTTTTCGACTTCAGTTTCGATTTTGACATAAACAGCTCACGGAAGTTTTTGAGTGTTGAAACCAGTTTAGCTGAAGTATTCAGTACGGACACCTCACCAAGGATTCATGTAGCCACATTGAGCCTTCTATCGTGGAGGCTATGTCCGTTCTTTGGCAAGTTGCGAAGAGGCTCTAAGTGTATACAACCTTGTGATCAGTGATGCAATGCTTCAGCTGTGTTTTACCTTGTAACAGGCTTACCAAAGATAAAATACTGTTAACGAATCAATCAAGTTCATACTTAGCGTTAACAGAAAACCATAGGTGTGGAAATGGTGGATTTTTCAACTTAAACATTAATGTTTCAACAAGTCCCAGGCTGCGCACATTCATATCATATTCAAATTCCTAAAAAAACCAAACGATATGCATTTTAACTGCGAAATCATTAGGGTTCCTGATCAGTATTAGTAGCTGAATAGCTATAAGTCCTGGGTCGACAGAGGAGAGAAACGCCGAGTTTCTTGCTTCATAGTAGCTTTAATGCTATCCAACGACCTCGACAAAACCGCCCTACCCGAGAATGCACGAAGTACGCGGGCTTTAGGAAGTAATAACTCATATCCTCTTCATTTCTTCCCGACAACCTTGTCTGCCTAAGAATTTCCGCTCCTGGATTCTCATTAGGACATTTCTACCGAGACACTACCAATTCGATACGGCAACATACTGCTTCACTAATCGTATCTATTGAAATTCTGTTGTTGACCAAGATGGTATAGTGTCTGGAGAGATGACATGAGTATTTTCCGCCTTAGATTTTTATCTCTCAATGAAAGCTCTTCGTATGGATACCACAAAGTAGGCAGTATGCAATTCTGCTACCACGTATGCTGTCTACTAAAGGAAGATAACTCGTGTTTCATTATATAAGGTAGGAATTTTCGCGTACGTAGCGCGTTGGCACGTGCTAGCGAGTGATCACAAGGTAAAGATCGACATGATCTTAACGCTAGTCTGAGCCCACTGTTGTATATGGATACATTTGCACTATTAATAAATAAAACTTACTGGCCATTTTGTGAAATGTCTACTTGTAAAAATAACGAGACGATGGTCAGTAGCTTAGTAAAAGTCAAATAAGTGACCTGCAACATTAGGTGCGCCAAAGTCTTCAACTTATAACCTGAGAAACTGCATCAAAATATCTGCAGCATAGGCTATATCTTTTTCCGTAACACACAAAATTCACTGAAGCCTTGGGTATCTCACGATCATATAACTACACAACCGTAGAAAACATTGAAGGCTCAATAGGGTGACGAGTATAACAATCGCAACGCCTGGTCAGCCTTGGCATTTGAAGCAACATTTTCCAAAGGTATCCAGGCCTATCATAGAAGGAAATCCGTTTTCTATGAGAAAGTGAACAGGTTCTATTGTTGTAAGTTCGATATATCAGCCGTCAATTATATGTGTGATTATGTTTGTGCCCCGACTCAGTTTTTGAGGCATCAGCCCAACACATATATAGGAAATATATAGAGCTTTACTTCGTCAACAGTGAATATTTGCTTATTTGAAAATTTAGCTTGTTTACTTGAGACACAGCTGATTCAAAATAACAAGGCTTGGTTTGCTAACAGCTCAAAAAAATATACAATATTTACACGATTCACATACGTATCTTAAACATCGAAAATAACTATAATGTACAGAATCTGTTTAATAGATCATATGCAGGTTGTTGATGACACATTGTCCATGTTGATCGGTATCACATCCTTCAAGAATCTTCCCTGACGCGAAGATGATAATACCTTTCCTATCATCTACCGTCACGGCCTTGTTCTACGTCCTATTCGAGGAAATTCAATTTTTTTTCTTTTTTTTTTGCTTTTTAGGTAACGTCGGGTCCACAACCTGCGCAACCATTTCTGTAGGTACTAATCTCATCTAATAACCGTGAACGCACGTTACATTTCTCTACTCGTATCCATAGCAATCCAAACGAGTTGGTCTTCGATCGTAGATTATTCTACAAAAGCATCTTCAAACGCGTTATAAACAAATGACGCAACAAAGTCGTTTTCACGGATTAACAAAATGGCTTTTTTAAATTATCAATACATAAGACTGAATCATGGAGGCATTTAGTTATTTCTATGCTTCATGCTAAATTTCAGCTTTTCGACCTCTACTTCTTCCAAATCAAAGGGGCGACACTACCGTCATTTCTGTCTCAAAGTAATATTTTCATTGAACATCATCAGAAGCAGCTTTTTTTCCATACGTTTTTATGACGAAACCTACGAAAATGTTTGGTTTTAGCGTTCAGATCTCTCAGTGCCTTGATGGCTGATACGAGAATTTCCCTTAGCTTCACAATGAGTCTGTTGCTTGAAGGTCCGCCTATGCTCGTAGATTAAATGCTAGCAACAAATTATTGCCACCAAACTTTTATGGTACGTTCATTCATAGTTAATTTTCCACCACTTGTCAATTAGCACCCCCTGATGACATGAAATTCACCCGCTGACCTTTCAAATGCATTTAATTTTTTATAGCAGGCTTCACGCGCCAGCTTGAGCCCAGGCTGAGTGCCGTGTTCGCGTAAAGCTGGCTGTCTACACGATCCACTTACTTATGCTACTTGTCAGCGGAGGTACCTCCAAGGATACGAGCATTCCCTATACCGGTTACTCCATTTTCTCCCTAGGTCTATTGGCCCCATAAACTACGCCTATGCTTTTTAATCTACATGACGCGATAACTCGACCTACCCCCTACGTTCTCGTACGTCGCTCACTCTACTTACTTCTAATCTTCGTTACAAATCACTGTGTTGCGGCTCAATTTACCAGTTTTCTATAGCCTGAAGATTTCCCCATTCTCTTCGATACAACTCTTGTCTCTCGGCATATTCAAAAATTCTGTCATTGATTACCTCTTCTATGGACTCTCTGAATGCTCTTTCTCTTATGTTTTTAAACACTTTCCCTGCTTTAGATAGCTTATTTAATTAAAATAAACTATCCTACCTTCCGATATTATATACTAATCTACTTCTTCATGTATTTCCTCAATAAGCTTCTGTAACTTCACTGGCTATTGAGAGCTGTTGGTTGTCATATCTATATTAGAGGCATATATATTTTAAGTTCGGATGCAGAAGCTTGACATGTTTGCTTTACCAACATTGTTAGTAAAGTATTTCTTAAATAGAAAAACATATACCTTGGGTGAGTCAGCATTACAGTGTCACGTACCTACGAAATCTTCCCAGGTGGTGAAATTGTGCTCAGCAATAATCTTGTCAACCAGATCTTGTAATACAGAGACTGGCGCCTCAGCAGAGGCTGAATGTGTTTCTGTTTCTAAAACACGAGACAGACAGCAAAATAAGACGTGTTATTATTATTAGTTAACGTAAATAAAACCACAAGCATGACAGTTACTAGTTGGCTAACACCCTCGTCTGAATCGCTAGCGTTTTCGATTTCATCGGGATTGACGACGCCGTGGCGCATGTCGTATTTTACTCAACAAGCGCTGCCATTTCAACGGACGCACCAAAGGCGTCTCCTGGGTGGAAATATCTAGAACGAGCTTTCGGTTCCTGACCTTCTGTGCGTTCGAGTTTTCGTTTTGCGCAGTCGACAACATTTCAGTGCTACGAGGATGTGATGCTAAGGCTTGTCGGCCTTCACCGGTGGATCCTTCTACTTCTGAGTCAATGCCGTTGGCATTACTTTTAAAGAGCGTAGGTACGAAGGTGCTGCTACTTGAATATTGGGATCGAGGTGCAACTCGATGGGGACATTTCACTGGCATTAACGTGTTCTTCTGATTAGTTCCCTAAATCAGATGGCAGCAGGTTAACATTTGCTATTCTTTCTTTACATAAGGTGCAAGCTTGTGTTAATGGAGCCGCATACATGTACTCCATCGATACGCGCCTCAAAACTTTGGGGTATTTTCTATTTATTTTGTCAGATTTTGCCAACCTATGATCTTCTATTAGAAAACTTCTAAAGGTAAAGAAACTAGCGACACTTTTCGCGGCAATCTGCTGGAGGCAGGTTCCAAGCAGCCTACAGCACGACAGGCTTGGATCATTTCAAATTTCAAAGAGTTGTTCATTAACTCACTTGATGTCTGATCCCTAACACCTCTAGCTCTGTTTACTTTATTGTCACTTGGTGCTGCCATCGTCGCAGTAGGAACGAGCTGCTTTTTAATTTCGTTTTAAGGGATGTCCTCACTGTGGGACGTCAACCATTTTTTCAAACCTCCGTTAGAGCCTTACGACCACAGCACTTCACTGCCATCCGAGTCATGCGAATGCTGCTGCCTTGTAACGGAGCGACCCAGCCACTGACCTCTGGGTTTTATTGGACGACTTTGCTCGCTTTACTTTTCTGTTTTTCTCGAGCGTTAAGATAAAATCCATTAGATTTTATTCTTTTGTTTGTAGGCAGCTCATCAGATTTACATGTAGATCTTCTACGGATGATGCGCTTATTGCGCGAGTTGGACGTGATGGACGAGCGTAGCTTCCGCACAGGTGTCGATGTATCTGTTGTAAGGAGAAATCGCGTATCATTCATATCGAGGTTAGAGCCTGAATTGCTACTCTCGTACGCGGTACGTGATAATGACGTGTTCTTAGAACTTAAAACAGTACGAACTCTATCGTGTTTATGATGTTTTTTTTTAGTGACAGCTAGATTTGCTTGGTACGTGAGCTTCAAGATTAGATGTTGTCGCAGTCAAGCGTTGTGTGCGATTCTTTGAAAAGTATTCTTGCTCCGCTTCTATTGAACTTAAATCTAAATATTTTGCTAACTTGCTTTCAGCTCATTTTTGTAGACTCGGGCGATTCCCGATTTCTAATAAAAAGCGGTGATTTCCCTGCTCGCAGTTGCTGTGTGCCGTGACAAATGTGAAGCAGATCCCGAAGCCAATCTCGGAATCTGGTTTCTTTGTTGTTGAGTAAGGCTTTTTTGAACCGCCCCCTTTATGAAAATAAGGGGCGATTTTGGAGATAGTAACTGCCGTGAATTCTGAAGAAGTTTAGTGGACTTTGAATTCAATACCACATATCTGAGACGAGCTCTAGTGTGCTCATATATTTTTCAAAATGGTTGGCACCTACAGCTTCCTTTCCAATCCTTTTCGTCAGGCGATGCAGCACATAATATATGGTTTATAAGCGATTAACCTCAGAGGTCGAACGACAGCTCTTTGCCTTCGAAGTTGTCGTCGGGATTTTCTCTCACTATGTATCTGCTGAGAATCTGTTGAAGGTTCGGGTTTCGCAGCCAAATTCCAGGTCGCATCGGAACATCCAATAACGGCCTTACTACTTCCAACCTTCTGCGAGTTTTTGTCCCCCTTGAAAGAGATACGTTCCGCTCCCTGTGGGCCACCTATAGGACCAGCTGAACCTTGCTTCGAAGACCTTGAAAGATTAAAATAGGACGGTTCCTTTCGTGCGTTGGTCAGTCGTGAAGAAGAGTTTAATGGGTCCAGTTTAGAGACACTTATATCATATATATAAACGGGTGTTTCCAACCACATTAAGGTCCCCGGGTCCGTTTCTGATTCCGCATGCGAATTAATGCTGTGGAGCTTGAGGAATACCAAACGTGATATTGAGGTTTTTGGCAAAATACTACTTGATGAAAAAGCACGTATCCGCAAGCAACGCGACAACAGCAATTTCTTCGCAGAGAAACAGCGATATTTCTCGGGAATGTCTCTCGGGAATTCTCCCGATGGCTTCGAGGAAAATAAAGCGACAATTGCTCCCAAATTCAGCGATAGCTCAGGACCCTTAAGGCGATCTGAACCTTCTGTTCCATGTATTATTGCTGAAGAAATCAGAAGTGTTGCCGGGGTCTGCCTTAACCCCGGCAAGGTTGAGTATACGAAACCCGTGTCTGTGTCGTGCGTTCGTTCTTCTGAAGGCAATGGATTCTCTGAATGGAAAGGTTTTCAATTCTGTAGAAGTCTGTGTCACCGTAATTGATTTTGACATTCTTCTAGGCCGTTGAAGGTCAAAAGCATCCTGGCCGCACACAGCGCGTTTTATCGTTTTAGGCCCGCAAGATTCGGTCGACAAACTTTTACCATACGAATTCCTGATAATGGTTAATTCATTTAATGACCTATTGCAAATCCGTTCGACTAAATAAGTGGCCGACGTTGGCCATTGTGAGGCCCAAGCTGTGGCGAAACGAAGCCCACATATCCTTTTGTTTTATTAACTGATATAGCAAAGTGCAATAGGCCGTCATCTTTTGTTCAGATACCTGCGTCGACTTAAACGCCAGTACCTCTCCCGACCTCCTCGCGACTCCGCCAGCCTGATGAAGGTTCAGTATGGTCGGAGAAGATATTAAAGGAGTTGTCGCGAACGCTGTTTAGCTGTGTCCATCCCGTGGTTACGGCCCAGTAACACGTGCCCTCCCATTTCTGGTATGTTTTAGCACTCTGAAATATATTAAATACAAATCAGCATTCACGCGTTTATACACTAAAGAATTTGCCATTTATTACAAGGTAGTCCCTCCAGCGGTGGTCCGTCAATTAAGCGGAAATTTATGTGTCGATAATTGCATGTGCCCCCTTCAACTGTAACCTGACAATAGATTGGCTAAATGCCGCGATCCATTCCAATTTATGCACCAAAACAGTCGGTCAAAAAAGCAGCTGAGCAGATTTATACAGATTCGTCGATTGTATCTTGTAATTAATAGACCCTTATGTATAGCACCTTTAGAAGCTATAACTAGAGCTACTTTGTGGCCCAGCTATTATCTAAGTTTAGTATGCCAGTTCGATTTATAAAAATCAGCAGTAACGGACGATAACCGGGAGACGTATTTGAAAAATTGATGTGATTAGAAAAACATTTAAACTAAATTGGAACTGATAGGTACAGTTAATGTGTTTTTAAACGGCTTCGGCAATGATCATGTTAAAATGGTGACTTCCTCGTAATCAGTCAGCAGAAAAGTAGGTTTACGTATTTAAAAAATACGTACATATATCAGTCATATATGTAGAATTGCTTAGCGAAGGCTAATTTGGTCGTATGAACGGTAATACGCTGCACGTTAAAAAATTACGGCCAGGGTGCGGATTCACGGAAAATAATCGATTCCATTAAATATAAAACTAGATCTCTATATACCAGCGGGTTAATGCACTGAACGTGTGCCTCGAAGTGGGCCAACATTTGCCTTACATATACGTGCCGTTTACTATGAAGGCGACGTTTTACGTCAGACGGATGTGAGGGCCGGGAACCGCTCTTGTAGCTATGCGCCACGAGTACTATCGAGTACCTGGCGGCATGACGGGCTCACGTTCGTTCATAACCGACGAATCAGGACCCTTCACAAACGCACATAAGCATAACAAATGAGACTTGAATTTAAGTTTATGCTTTAAATACATCTAGCTTATATGAAGGAAGGGGAAAAAGGTTTTTCATTGATTTCTGTTTTTTTAGAATCCCCAGGGCAAATCCTCTTTTGAACTGCATAAAGTGCCCAAGAAAAAAGATAACAGTGATAAAGACTCTGCCGGGCCCACAGACCTTTGTTCCGTATCAAGTTGATTAGCATCATTGAAATAGACTTTTCAATACAATTTTCTATCTAAAGCGCGATCTAGTGCTACAGCGTAAAGTTGAAGCACCCGCGATAAAGTGCAATTTTATTCATACTAGATATTAGCACGCATGCTATTATCTCGTGCATAAACAAATTACTCCCTACATGCATTTCATTAACTATTCACCCAAATACTATTTTCACACAAAAAATATACATATATTTTAAAAGTATTTTATCGTAACTTGATGTAAGCACGACTCTTTGTAAAAACACAATAAATATTGACTATGCGGATTAGTTACATATAGGCGCTAGACAAATGAAATTTACCTCTAGTTCAAAATCTTCATTGACAAAAAAAATTGGAAAAATATTGCCTGCATGCGGCAACGTCCATCTCACGTAAAATCTGACCTTATTGTTTCTTGCTAGCTTGTGCATAGGTTATTGTCTGTTTACACATCGTCCGATGATATTTCTCTGTTGAGCGTCGATAACAGATGCGAGTTTCGGTGTTTCACTTAACATCTGCCCTTGCCTTACCTCAACATTCAGAGATTTAAACTTGATCAGGGAGTTCGTCCAGCTCAGGAATGTTACCTACAAAAACTACAACCATTTACGGTCAGAGTCGATCCAACCAGATCGAGAAATTGGCTTACGGATGATTCGATCGTAACCTTCCACCCTCAAGTGGAAATATAACACTTTTATACTCCAGCTTACGAATGGCGTCTGGCTTCTGACTGTTTTGGACTGAATTAATCCGAGTGAGAGGGCGAGCTGGAGTGGTCGAATCTCTCGTTCGAGATACATCACAGTAGGCACATATCATCGGTTTGATACGTATCGCATAGAATTGACGGCTGAAACCGTCAGTAGGCGATGGCCTGGCTATATGGAGTTGTTTCTAATCAATGCTATCGGAGCTGGGGAAAAATTCAAATAAAGAAAAGCTATAGCAAACTGCGGTACTCACTTGCGTCACGTCAGTGTATACGTCAATGATTAACTGGAAGCGCCATAGAAGATTGTCAATTAGTTAGAGCCGAGGCCATAAGAATCCGATAGAGACTGATGACGAGCACGATTTAAATGCGTAGTCATGAAAATAATAAAAAAAAAAATGAAATTTATTGCATTTATGTGAATGTCGAGAAGAAGTTAGCTATTGAGAGTCAGACACTATTGACGGATTCTTCCCCT